AAACGATTCGTTTGTCAAGTCAACCTTTCTTGATGGTTTTTTGGTATATATCGGCCAAATAAAGTCCGATTTAGGAATTTTATACAATTTTCGACTCGTAAGGATCAGTACTATCGATTGGCATCAAAAAATTGAAAATCTAAATTTTGACTGAAATCGGCAAAATGGCAAGGGGTTACATCACGTTTTTTCTCAAAATCGGGGTCGATTCGAAAATCAAAACATTTTTGATGATTTTTTTTGAATATCTCGGCTAAATAACGTCTGATTTTGAAATGTTATACCTTTTTGAATTCTTACGGATCCCTACTATCGATTGGCATTCAAACAAATTAAAAATCGATTGGTTAAGAAAAGTTGTGGACCAAAAAACGATTCGTTTGTCAAGTCAACCTTTCTTGATGGTTTTTTGGTATATATCGGCCAAATAAAGTCCGATTTAGGAATTTTATACCATTTTCGACTCGTAAGGATCAGTACTATCGATTGGCATCAAAAAATTGAAAATCTAAATTTTGACTGAAATCGGCAAAATGGCAAGGGGTTACATCACGTTTTTTCTCAAAATCGGGGTCGATTCGAAAATCAAAACATTTTTGATGATTTTTTTTGAATATCTCGGCTAAATAACGTCTGATTTTGAAATGTTATACCTTTTTGAATTCTTACGGATCTTACGTTTTTTCTCAAAATCGGGGTCGATTCGAAAATCAAAACATTTTTGATGATTTTTTTTTGAATATCTCGGCTAAATAACGTCTGATTTTGAAATGTTATACCTTTTTGAATTCTTACGGATCCCTACTATCAATTGGCATTCAAACAAATTAAAAATCGATTGGTTAAGAAAAGTTGTGGACCAAAAAACGATTCGTTTGTCAAGTCAACCTTTCTTGATGGTTTTTTGGTATATATCGGCCAAATAAAGTCCGATTTAGGAATTTTATACAATTTTCGACTCGTAAGGATCAGTACTATCGATTGGCATCAAAAAATTGAAAATCTAAATTTTGACTGAAATCGGCAAAATGGCAAGGGGTTACATCACGTTTTTTCTCAAAATCGGGGTCGATTCGAAAATCAAAACATTTTTGATGATTTTTTTTGAATATCTCGGCTAAATAACGTCTGATTTTGAAATGTTATACCTTTTTGAATTCTTACGGATCCCTACTATCAATTGGCATTCAAACAAATTAAAAATCGATTGGTTAAAAAAAGTTGTGGACCAAAAAACGATTCGTTTGTCAAGTCAACCTTTCTTGATGGTTTTTTGGTATATATCGGCCAAATAAAGTCCGATTTAGGAATTTTATACCATTTTGGACTCGTAAGGATCAGTACTACCGATTGGCATCAAAAAATTGAAAATCTAAATTTTGAGTGAAATCGGCAAAATGGCAAGGGGTTACATCACGTTTTTTCTCAAAATCGGGATCGATTCGAAAATCAAAACATTTTTGATGATTTTTTTTTGAATATCTCGGCTAAATAACGTCTGATTTTGAAATGTTATACCTTTTTGAATTCTTACGGATCCCTACTATCAATTGGCATTCAAACAAATTAAAAATCGATTGGTTAAGAAAAGTTGTGGACCAAAAAACGATTCGTTTGTCAAGTCAACCTTTCTTGATGGTTTTTTGGTATATATCGGCCAAATAAAGTCCGATTTAGGAATTTTATACCATTTTGGACTCGTAAGGATCAGTACTATCGATTGGCATCAAAAAATTGAAAATCTAAATTTTGACTGAAATCGGCAAAATGGCAAGGGGTTACATCACGGTTTTTCTCAAAATCGGGGTCGATTCGAAAATCAAAACATTTTTGATGATTTTTTTTTGAATATCTCGGCTAAATAACGTCTGATTTTGAAATGTTATACCTTTTTGAATTCTTACGGATCCCTACTATCAATTGGCATTCAAACAAATTAAAAATCGATTGGTTAAAAAAAGTTGTGGACCAAAAAACGATTCGTTTGTCAAGTCAACCTTTCTTGATGGTTTTTTGGTATATATCGGCCAAATAAAGTCCGATTTAGGAATTTTATACCATTTTGGACTCGTAAGGATCAGTACTACCGATTGGCATCAAAAAATTGAAAATCTAAATTTTGAGTGAAATCGGCAAAATGGCAAGGGGTTACATCACGTTTTTTCTCAAAATCGGGATCGATTCGAAAATCAAAACATTTTTGATGATTTTTTTTTGAATATCTCGGCTAAATAACGTCTGATTTTGAAATGTTATACCTTTTTGAATTCTTACGGATCCCTACTATCAATTGGCATTCAAACAAATTAAAAATCGATTGGTTAAGAAAAGTTGTGGACCAAAAAACGATTCGTTTGTCAAGTCAACCTTTCTTGATGGTTTTTTGGTATATATCGGCCAAATAAAGTCCGATTTAGGAATTTTATACCATTTTGGACTCGTAAGGATCAGTACTATCGATTGGCATCAAAAAATTGAAAATCTAAATTTTGACTGAAATCGGCAAAATGGCAAGGGGTTACATCACGGTTTTTCTCAAAATCGGGGTCGATTCGAAAATCAAAACATTTTTGATGATTTTTTTTTGAATATCTCGGCTAAATAACGTCTGATTTTGAAATGTTATACCTTTTTGAATTCTTACGGATCCCTACTATCAATTGGCATTCAAACAAATTAAAAATCGATTGGTTAAAAAAAGTTGTGGACCAAAAAACGATTCGTTTGTCAAGTCAACCTTTCTTGATGGTTTTTTGGTATATATCGGCCAAATAAAGTCCGATTTAGGAATTTTATACCATTTTGGACTCGTAAGGATCAGTACTACCGATTGGCATCAAAAAATTGAAAATCTAAATTTTGACTGAAATCGGCAAAATGGCAAGGGGTTACATCACGTTTTTTCTCAAAATCGGGATCGATTCGAAAATCAAAACATTTTTGATGATTTTTTTTTGAATATCTCGGCTAAATAACGTCTGATTTTGAAATGTTATACCTTTTTGAATTCTTACGGATCCCTACTATCAATTGGCATTCAAACAAATTAAAAATCGATTGGTTAAGAAAAGTTGTGGACCAAAAAACGATTCGTTTGTCAAGTCAACCTTTCTTGATGGTTTTTTGGTATATATCGGCCAAATAAAGTCCGATTTAGGAATTTTATACCATTTTCGACTCGTAAGGATCAGTACTATCGATTGGCATCAAAAAATTGAAAATCTAAATTTTGACTGAAATCGGCAAAATGGCAAGGGGTTACATCACGGTTTTTCTCAAAATCGGGGTCGATTCGAAAATCAAAACATTTTTGATGATTTTTTTGGAATATCTCGGCTAAATAACGTCTGATTTTGAAATGTTATACCTTTTTGAATTCTTACGGATCCCTACTATCAATTGGCATTCAAACAAATTAAAAATCGATTGGTTAAAAAAAGTTGTGGACCAAAAAACGATTCGTTTGTCAAGTCAACCTTTCTTGATGGTTTTTTGGTATATATCGGCCAAATAAAGTCCGATTTAGGAATTTTATACCATTTTGGACTCGTAAGGATCAGTACTACCGATTGGCATCAAAAAATTGAAAATCTAAATTTTGACTGAAATCGGCAAAATGGCAAGGGGTTACATCACGTTTTTTCTCAAAATCGGGATCGATTCGAAAATCAAAACATTTTTGATAATTTTTTTTTGAATATCTCGGCTAAATAACGTCTGATTTTGAAATGTTATACCTTTTTGAATTCTTACGGATCCCTACTATCAATTGGCATTGAAACAAATTAAAAATCGATTGGTTAAGAAAAGTTGTGGACCAAAAACCGATTGGCATCAAAAAATTGAAAATCTAAATTTTGACTGAAATCGGCAAAATGGCAAGGGGTTACATCACGTTTTTTCTCAAAATCGGGATCGATTCGAAAATCAAAACATTTTTGATGATTTTTTTTTAATATTTCGGCTAAATAACGTCTGATTTTGAAATGTTATACCTTTTTGAATTCTTACGGATCCCTACTATCAATTGGCATTCAAACAAATTAAAAATCGATTGGTTAAAAAAAGTTGTGGACCAAAAAACGATTCGTTTGTCAAGTCAACCTTTCTTGATGGTTTTTTGGTATATATCGGCCAAATAAAGTCCGATTTAGGAATTTTATACCATTTTCGACTCGTAAGGATCAGTACTACCGATTGGCATCAAAAAATTGAAAATCTAAATTTTGACTGAAATCGGCAAAATGGCAAGGGGTTACATCACGTTTTTTCTCAAAATCGGGGTCGATTCGAAAATCAAAACATTTTTGATGATTTTTTTTTGAATATCTCGGCTAAATAACGTCTGATTTTGAAATGTTATACCTTTTTGAATTCTTACGGATCCCTACTATCAATTGGCATTCAAACAAATTAAAAATCGATTGGTTAAAAAAAGTTGTGGACCAAAAAACGATTCGTTTGTCAAGTCAACCTTTCTTGATGGTTTTTTGGTATATATCGGCCAAATAAAGTCCGATTTAGGAATTTTATACCATTTTGGACTCGTAAGGATCAGTACTACCGATTGGCATCAAAAAATTGAAAATCTAAATTTTGACTGAAATCGGCAAAATAACAAGGGGTTACATCACGTTTTTTCTCAAAATCGGGGTCGATTCGAAAATAAAAACATTTTTGATGAATTTTTTTGAATATCTCGGCTAAATAACGTCTGATTTTAAAATGGTATACCTTTTTGAATTCTTACGGATCCCTACTATCAATTGGCATTCAAACAAATTAAAAATCGATTGGTTAAAAAAAGTTGTTGACCAAAACGGATCTGGAGGAAATTTATAAGGATCAGTTATAGCGATTTTTTTTAAGGAGCGAACCCTAAGAACAGGGCCAGGCGGCGTTTAGAACTAACACTTAAAACTCAAATATTTCGCATTAAATGTTCAGTTTGTGTTCTTTGATTTCGTAACGTATTTATTTTGCTTTTGTTTCCTTTGCTTTATGTTAGTTTATATATTTTGTCAGTAGCTATTTATTTGTATAATACTAGGTAATGCCATTCGACTTACGACTAACGTACAATACAAGCCATATATTTAAAATTTTGTATGTTATATACCATATATATAGTTTAAAGTTGACATTTTGAGATTAAATTGAAATGAAGGAAACACTGCGCTACAAACTAAAGGACACTACTTAAACTTAAATCGAGTACTTAAGTAGCTAAGTGATTATATTAGTTAATATTATAGTATGGGAAGTAAAGCTAGATATTTACAACTTGTGCTTGATTGTTTCGACAGCGAGCACCTCCGAGCGTTCGTCTTGCAGTGTCTTCACTGTACCACACACATTTTTCTCAACTCTATTTACAAAGCAAACTGTATCACAAATAAACCTTATACACATACATACATATATATATATATATATATATATATATATATGATCTTCTATTTGACAATTAGCAGCCCGCTGCGTGCGACGCCTCCGCCCAGGGCTGCAGTCCGTGCAGCGCGGCCAGCGGGGCTCCATTCACGCCGGATTGGGAGCTGAGCGGCGCCGTTGGCGGCGCAAATCCCTTGCTGATGGCCTCCGCCTGCAGGGATAGCATCAGCCGATTGGCCGCCTGTCGCTCGGCCTCGCGCTCCTCCGCCGTCTGACGTCTGCAAAAAAGGCGAGAAAGAGAGAGAGAAACTAGTTTAAAAAGCTGTACATGATACACACAAAATAAAAATATTAAAAAGCACAAAATCAAGAGTATTTTATTTGGTCCCGACTGGGAGATGCTCAGCTTTGAGCTGCCTCAGACCACATTCCATCTTTCTTCTATACACAAAAGCGCAAAGTGAATTTTCATAATGGATGATAAGCTCTTGATTAACTTCGGTGCTTATAGTCCGATCGTTATGAAATTTTCAGGGATTAAGTAGGGTATTGAATTCTTTTTATTCATTTCGAAAGGAATATTTATCGATACTATGATATGATATGTGTCTCTCTCCTTGATTGTTTACAAGAATTTATTGTCAATTAATAGAAGGTATACAAGCCCCAGATATTCCAAAAAAAATGGCCGAAAAAGTTTTGATTGTCGAACCAACCCCGATTTTCCTCTTTTTTCGATTTGGGTGCAATTTAAGATTTTCATTTTTTTAATGCCCAAAGATAGTACTGATCCTTACGAGTCAATAATGGTAAATCATTTCAAAATCCGACGAAATTTACCCGAGACATTCAAAAAAAAATTACCAAAAAAGTTTTGATTTTCAAACCGATCCGGTTCTGAGAAAAAAAGTAACCCCTTGTATTTTCATGAAATTTCGAAAAAATGTAGACTTTCATTTTTTTTTAATGCCAATCGATAATACTAATCCAAAATCTTATATCATTCCGATATTATTTGGCGGAGATATTCCAATAAAAAAAACTATAACAGCTTTTAGGCATATTCAATGGCTTGAGGGTATAATACGATTTGATGAGGCTTATCAATATTTTGGCATCGGCTAATGTGCATATTCATTATCGAAAAGCAATTTGCCTCAGACAGAGAGAGAGCGATAGAGAGAGAGAGAGAGGGGCTGACAGCTGGACGGGCGGGGGCGAGGCTCATCAAGTCATTATGTGGGCGGCTTATTAAGACCATTTAAAACTAATCAAATCAAATATGCTGATTGCCAGCAGTCCCCCCCCCCCCCCCTCCCACACCCTCTCCTTCCCTCTCTCAATTATGGCATTGTTTCGTTTTTGTTTATTGAAAATTAATTTCGATTCTGGCCTGGCCTGGCGTAAAATTACATTTTAAATGTTGCGCTTAAATGGGATTTAAGCCGAGCAGCAGCAACAACAACAACAACAACTGGCGCACATTTGGCCATAAATAATTCAACAGCAATTGCAGCACGGCCTTTTGCACTTTGCACTTTGCTGCTGCAGTTATAATTCTCCTTTTCCCAGTTCCCAATTCCATTCACAGTTCCCATTTCCATTCACAGTTCCCATTTCCTGTTTCCCTTGCCCTCATATTTCGCGTTTGCGCAGCATTTATGCTCTAATTGTGGCCACCCCCACACACACACACACTCCCCCACACACACACACACACACACACACACTTACACATTGCATTTGTGTGTGTGGGGTTGTTTTTGCCTTCGCGCGCCATATTGAATATTTCATGATCTAATAAAGTTCTTACGACGATGTCTAGCAAAAAGTTTTTGTCCCGTAATTACAATCCTAAATACTTGGCTCGTTAGTGTGCGTGTGTCTGTGTGCGTGTGTGTGTGTGTGTGTGTGCGACCCACACATGTCATTATTGTATTTTAGTTAAATATGCTATCATTACGGCTTTCATCAGCAATGTCATCATTCAAACTACGAGTTCGTAACTTAAATGCGAACTGATTAAAAATTCATTAAATTCATAGTCGATTTGTGGCATGCTTTTGGGTTATAGTCATGATATAAATATAAAATAAATATGCTTTGAGTTGTTCTTAATTCAAGACCAAAATTTGATAGATATAAGTATATTTGGTCATCAATTTAGAATGATTTAAACATACTTTAAGTTTGTGAGCTCTTGCATCAAGATTAATATAAACTTATTTCAAGCTCAGACTGGGATTGTATTAAGGACATATTGGGCTCAATTTAAGACTGAAGTAGTGAAAATGGGAATAATTGAAGTATTGGTTGTCTTAAATTGAGGCTATTTTGATCTTATTTCAAGAGTCAATAAAACTTGATTCAATACATTTCCGTTTTTTAAATCAGCATAATATGGCTAAAAAACTAAACAAACAAATATTGATTCAATTGATTTTCGTACTTAAAAAGTGATACTTTAAATAATATAAGAGTCTTAGAGTACTTTTATGACCGCGTTTACTTGATTCAAGTACAAAATTCTTGATTTTATCTCTCACTTTTGTTACAGTCTTAAGAATTTTATAGAAATGTTTGTTTGTTATTAATTCCGTCAAGAGAATTTTCGCAGACCTAATTATTCGGCTCTACTTCAAAGTTAATTTATTTTCTTCCTTATTGACCTTCAATTGCAATATTTGAAGTGTTATCAACAGAAGCCCTTTAAATAACAAAGTATTAATATTTAATAAAAAATATGACCAGGTTTTCAATCGAAGTTTTCGCGAACATTTTTCATTGGTCTGAGCAACAAAATAATTCCAAATTCAACACGCTGCAAGCGACGTTAATTGAATTATTGTACTCGAAATGTACGAAATGCAAACAAATTCATTCATTGTCTCTGGCATTTGGTTCGAATGAACAAAATAGTATGGGAAGTATTTCACTTTTACTTTCTGGCATTTTGGGTGCTTTATCTGCGAGCATTTTTACAGCTACCGCATGAAAAATTCAACGTAAATTGATTAAAAACTCCAAAAGCAAATGCGCGAGTGTGCGAGTGTGTGTGTGAGTGTGTGTGTGTGTGTGCGAGTGTGTGCGGGCTTAATTTAAGCTGTGCGGGGAACAGAGACAAGCGGCACGGCACGGCACGATTGTAATTTATCTTCAGACACGAGAGTTTTTCCAGCTGAAAATGAAAATGGAAATGCAAGAAACGCTTTACAAATGTTAACTGTTTGTCTTTTGGCGCCAGAGTTGTTGTTGTTGTTGTTGTTGTTGTTAAACACGATAAATAATGGCCAGACATTAGGCTAAAATGTTTATTAAAGCTCGAGGCATAAATCGCACGAAGGGGCGTCTGGAGAGGGAGAGGGGGAGGGGGGAGGGGGTTGGGGGCGTGGCTTAGATTAATGTTGCCACAAATTTAATGGCAAGTCAATTGTCGCACTGTTAGCAGCTGCTCAAACGCTTTTCCCGGCGGCAACTAATTAAAATCAGCCCGCAAATGATGTCAACAAATTTAGGACAAAAGTTAACCAAAAAAAAGAAGAAGAAGAAATGGCCCTCTGGCAATTATCTGGCAAGACATAACAATTTAGCCAGGCCATTAATTGGGGCCCCCGTTTAGAGTCCGTTGGGAGTTGCCGGCGGCCAAGACGAAGGAAGATTTGCTTTTGGCCACGTTTTTGGACACGTGCCCCCAAAGTTAATTTCCAAATGGCCAAAACAGGCTCTTTGCCGTAAATTAATTTCATTTGATTTTCTTCGCTTGCGCAAAAACAAAACTTTGCTCTCTGCCAAATTGATTTTCGCCTTGCGGTTCAAGTTTGCCAGCAAACTTCTTCTTTTGGCCACACACACACACACACATTTGTCACCGTGTGTGTGCGTGTGCGTGTGTAAATTTTTAATTAGACAGCTTTCAGCAGCATAAGTAAAACTTTTCCATATGCCACGCAATTAATTTCGTGTGAGTTTTCGTACTCGACTCCAAGATTCGCCACCAAAACAATCCGCCGGATTCTTGGCTTTTTGATGCATGGCCGTGTAATTAAAAAGGGTTTAACGGCAACTTGATTTATGTGCCGGCTGCTAATTAAATTATGTGCACACATCTAGTAGCTGGCAGTGGAAATTCTGCAAGTGAGCGTGCTCAAGGCAGAAGATACCCTGTCAAAGATGGAGATGCTCTAGATTAGAGATAATTCTTTTAATCCTTCATTCCAAACTTAAAATCAATTTGGCTTGATTTCAGCTTAAGAGAATTTACATTCCATTTTTTTCTCTGGTAAAGTAGATCTTAAGTTAAGTAGAACTCGAGCAAAATATGCGCTCAAAAATATTTAAGGAAAAAAAATATGCAATATAAATTGATATAAGCAAACCAAATAAATGAATTGAAGCTCTATAGAATATATTGAAAACTGAAAACAAACCTATTTTCGCTCCAGTTGAGATCAAAAATGGTTTAAAATTAAAAGTTTGTTTTCATTAATACCTATAATAAATATTCTCAGAGTTCAAAAATTTGTAGAACAAAGAAATCTATATAAATTTATAAAAATAAATCAGATAAATGAAGTGAAACTTTATAGAATAGATTGAAATCTGATTTCCAAATCAAGCCCATTTTTGCAAAAACTTTGACAAATTTGTTCAAAATTAGGAGTATGTTTTATTTAATACCTATAATAAACATCCTCAGAGTCCGAAAATATTTAAAGAAAAATATATAGATAAATTTATGTAAATAAATCAGATAAATGAAGTGAAACTCTATGGAATGTTTTGCAATCTGATTTCCAAATCAAGCCCATTTTCGCAAAAACTTTGACAAATTTGTTCAAAATTAGTAGTTTATTTTCTTCTATAATAAAAATACTCAGAGTCCGAAAAGTTGTATCAATCAAAGAGCTGATTTTCCGTACCCGAGATATTCAAATTGAGATTTATCTTAAGAACTTAAGCGACATTCCGACATTCGTATTCGCCCATCTACTGGGTTTACGGTGAATTTGTAAGGACTTGGCGCAGCAGACAACCGTTAGACGACATCATTTGTTTGGCCCCATTCTCAGACACTGCGCAATGACATGCCAGTTTTTTACATCACAGGGTTTCCGCCTGCCTCTCTCTCTCTCTCTCTCTCTCCCTCTCTCTCTTCGCTATCTATCTGTTGTCTGTGTGGCATCTGGCTTTTGCCCGCAGTTGCTTTTTAATACCCTTGCAGCGGGTATTATAATTTTGTCACGCTTTGTGGTAGATACTCGTAAATCTATTGGGTATGTATATGTTTTTAAACCGAATCAACAGCTTTATTTTGATCATCAATTTCGCATGTCTGTCTCTTTTTAACTTGGCATATATATGTATATGTTTGCTGCAGTGATTGCGAATATAATATATCTGGCATGCCGGTCAACTATATCATATAGCTGTCTTATGGGGACCGAGTGTTTTATATGAACCTCTATTTTGTTTCTTAACCAATCTTATCGCGAATCTTGTACATGTTTTGCTGAAGCTCCAACAATTTTCTAGTTACTTTTAAAAATTTGGCAAGAAATCATAGAATTCGAAAACATTTTTGAAAAATTTTTATATTGAACTAACTCAAAATAAGAGAAGTTTAAAAATAAAAGAAAAACTAAATACTTCTGTAACTAAGAGTCAACCCTGAGTCAAGCCTAAGTAAGGGTTCTTATCCTCAGCAGCAACTTATTTTTTGATTTTAAAAACTTGATATTAAATCATATTTTCGAAAAAAAATTTTGAAAATAAGTATTTTGAACTAACTCAGAATACGAAAAGTATTTAAAAAAAAATTTATATATATATAAATATTTCTGCAAACTGTATTCATTGTATGGCAACTTGATGAAAATTGGCATAAATCTTGTTTTAAGTAAGGGTATTCAATTTTCAGCAGTCGACAGATAACTGTGCTTGCTTGTTGTTTCTTTGTTCATGCTCCTTCTCTCCCTTCTCTTGCTCTTCCTCTTCCTGCTCTTCTGCTGTTTATTTCTTTTTCGCTAAACACATTGTCAAATTGACAGGCAACAAACTTCATTCAATTGCTCAAACTCAGTCGAACATTCTTGTTGTTGTTGTTGTTGTTGTTAATTATTAATTGTTGTTGTTTTTGTTGTTGTTGGCATTTGAAAGCCTTATGAGTCAAGCACATTGCCTTTGTTGCTAAACGGGTTACATTTATTTAATTGAAATAAGAAAAACCGAATTTATTGAAAAATACATTTGGTAATCTTTTTTGGGCCAAGCGAACATAACTCATACGCCATGTTGAACGCGGCTAATTATTCAAATTACTTGGCGCGCAGTTAGCAGCATTGCATTAAGGCAATTATGTGTGTGTGTGTGTGTGTGTGTGTATTTACGAGGTATACATAATCGTGTTGCCTGTATTATGCCGTTGCCATTTCACTTAGCCACAAACGAGCCGTGGCCATTGCCGTTAACAAAATTGCGTTTTACATCATTAATTTTTACGAGCTAAACTAGGTCCAAAATGGCTGATAAGCTCTGCTCGAAGGGGAGGGGGAAGGCGGGGAGGGGGGGGGCTTCTGGCATTGTCGGGCTCTGGAGCAGAGCCTGCTAAGCGGCAATTAGCGCGTCTCAAAAGTGTTGTTGTTGTTGTTGTCGGCGTTGCCACGTTTTGAAAAGTTTTGCTTTGGCTCGTTATTATAATGGTAATTGCATATGGTTTATGTGTATTTATATATATATATATATATGCCATTTTGTTATAATTCTAATGCTAGTAATAAAATAGAAAACAATTTGAGACACGCAAATGCGCGCAACGCATCGATGCCTCATTAAATTAGAGACAGACAAGCGCGTGACTTGTTTATAGGACAACACACACATACACTTGGAGAAAAACAATAGCATGTTCCTCCAATATAGTAAGTATCAGTAAAAATGAAAATATCTCTAAGATATAATTAGGAATAAAAATATATTTTAGAATAAGCACAAAAATATTATGAGAAGAAACAAATGAAAAAGCAAAATCGGACAAATAAGAATTTTCGTTAAGAAATTTTTGATTATAAGAAAATACACAACTGTAAGATATATTTAATTAAATAAAATAAGTACAAAATACTTGTGAGAAGAATAAGCCTGAAAATGTTTTACAATTTTCATGGGAAGAACAACGAGTGAGAAATTTGTATTAAGAAATTTTTGATTAAAAGAAAATATCTCTAAGATATATTTAACTAAATAAAAATATATCTTAGAATAAGTACAAAATAGTTATGAGAAGAATGAAGAAGAAGGAGAAGAAGGAATTACAAAAAATGCAAAAGCAAAAGCTGCCAAAAAGAAACTTCGCTCTGAGCTTAAGGAATGTTAACTGTCTCTAGCGAGTATTTCTAGGTACAAATTTCGTGTCATTTTCTTCGAGTGTATGCATTTCTACTCATATGTGTTATGGGTAGGGGCGAGTGAGTATTCGCTTGATAAGGCAACGAGTTGAAAGTACTCGCAAGTTGCCATTTGCATGGCAAATGTTCTGTGTTCAGCTACTCGGAAATGCGCCATAAATCAAATTGATAAACCAACAGATGGTTCAAGTAAATGTGTTAAGTAAATTATTTACATGAAAAACACGTATAAACATTTAAATGTTGCTTTTCAGTTATTGAGATGCAAATATGCCTGAGAGTCTAGATAGTGTACAAGTTAAATGTTATTCTGCTTAATAAATATAAATTGAGTCGATCTAGCCGTCCGTCTGACCGTCCGTCTGTATGAACGCAAGGATCTCAGAACCTATAAGAGCTAGAGAATTGAAATTTTAGCTGTAAGTCCTCCTAGTCCACGCGCAGATGGAGTTTGTTTCCGATAGTCGATAACTTGCCCCGTTTCCAACTAATCGATAAAAATCGATATCGAAATCCTGTTTTTTGAGCAATTTCGGCAAATAACAAGAGCTAGAGTCACCAAACTTGACATGTAGCTTCTAGAATAGTATATATATATCAAGTATCTTTCGTTTTATACCTATCGCCTGTCGGAAGAAGAGGGTGCAGGGTATTCCCTAGTTGGGAGCTCCCGACTAGAACCTCTTATTTGTTAAAGCTAAAGTCTTGCGCTTTGGTACATAGACACTTGTGTGTGTCATATTTAAGCCCCGAAAATATTATACAATTTGTACTCTAAACAGCCAAGTTAATTGAGAATGCATTTCGCATAAAAAGTGAGGGGCAAGGGAAAGAAGGGCATGCCAGGCGGGCTGACATAATCTCAGACACTTTGCAAATAATTGTTAAAACTTTCTTATCATACTATTTAATTTATTACAAATTTCTTTAAATAGCAGCCATTTTGGAGTTGTGATTAGCGTCTGGTTAGTGAAAGCCTTCGGCTCATTATGGCCAAACGTGGCCGAGGACTTTGCCAAGTGAATCCAAGTGAATCCACCCTCAAAAAGAGGACCAACCCCTAAACGGAACGCGGTGGGCGCTTTTTCATTTAATGTGCTCATGCATAATGGAAAAACCTTTTACCCCCCCGAGCTCTATTTATTTTTCTTTTTTCTTTCTCTTTTTTAGACAAAAGCCTTTTGTGCATTTTGTAGTTTAAAAAGCTGGAGCAGAGGGGGGGGGGGGGTGGCTTTGGCAGGTGTTAGCTGTCAGCACTTATTGATTTTGTTGCTCACCTCCATTTGGTGCGGCGATTCTGGAACCACGTCTTCACCTGGGCATCGGTCATCTTGAGGCCGCGTGCGAGGGCGGCGCGCTCCGCGGAGGCGAGATACTTTTGCTTGTGGAAGCGCTTCTCCAGCTCCGCCACCTGGATGCGTGTGAAGGATGTGCGCGGCTTTTTTCGCTTGGGCGGCGTCCGATTCTGATAGGGATGTCCGATGCGCCGGGCAATGGGAAAGGCAGCTGTAGCATAGAAGAAGAAAATAGTAAATGCTTAAATGGCATATTGCATAATTGCGCAGGTAAGTTGGGTGTCCTGGCCCTGGCCCTGGTCGGGCAATTAGCTGACAATAAAGAGCATATCCCGTGGCAATGGATAACAAGCCATTTCCGATATTTGCTTCCGGCACCTGTGCGGGGCTACTTAGCGACCCGCCGCTGCCTCTCTACCTGCGGCCCGCTGTGAAATCAATTTAGACCCTGAGAGAGTCACCGACTCGGACTCGGACTCGGACTCCGACTCCGACTCGTTCCTAATTGCCGCAGTCTGAGGGCGATCTTTAACCTTTATCATAGAGTCTGGGTAGACGCACGCACGCGACATTCAATTTGATTCGGGTTGAGTCATAAACTCGCGGCTTCCTAGGATGCCGATGTGACCCAGTGTCTGGACTGGACGGGACGGGACTGCCGACTAATGGGTGCGGCCCAGGGACAGCGACTCTGGCGCTGAACCTTTTAAAATTCCAGCCAGACCTGACTCTCTTCTTGTTCTTGTTCTTGTTGTTCTTGTTGTTGTTGCGTGTTGTTGTTTATTCGCTGCGATAAGCCGCAACCAACAAAAAAAATATTAAAACGATGTCGTCGTTGTTGTCGTTGTCCTCCTGGTGACAACTGGCAAACCGGCTTGACCATCGTCTCTCAGGGGTCACATGCGACAAGTCACGGCAATTGCTTGCTAAACATGAACTCGAAGCTGACTGAGAACTTTACATTTTCCGGGCTGGAAAATTATAGAACTTATACGGGAGCATTTCTAGTGTTAAAATCGATACTGTAAGCTAGAAATATCCCCAACATCCAGCATGAACAAAAACTATTCTATTCGTCAAAGGAAAAATATACTTCAATCTCTTTTACCGCTTAGAAATGCAATTACACGAAAAGCTGCTCTAAATAAAAATATATATTTTAAAATAATTACAAAATACTTATGAGAAGAATAAGGATTAGTGCAAAACATTTTCATTGGAAGTGAAACAATTGAAAAAGCAAAGTCTGACAAAGAATAATTTGTGTTAAGAAATGTTTGATTAAATAAAATATCTCTGCTCTTTGCAAAATGAAATACAAAATGTATTTAATTTGAGTTAAATTCGAAAATTAATCTTTTGGGTTCAATGTGGTTCATTTAGCATAATGCACAAAATAAAATGTGTGAAACATATTTTGTCCATAAATATTTTATCCATAAAGTTACACTCAACAAATTAAATCAATTTTACCTTTTTTTTCCTTAATTTCGAAAATGTTCTCTTGAGGTCAAATTCGAAAATTGTTTTTTTTTGGGTTCAATGTGGTTCATTTAGCATAATGTACAAATTTGCCACCATAAAAAAATGCTAAAATCCGAATTTCTTGTTTGAATTTCTCAAAAATAATGTGCTTTATAAAAAGACTTTAAATTAATTATTAATTTGAGAGCAAATAAATCAACTTTGAAAAATATTCAAAAAAGGCACATTTAACAATAAATTTAATTATTTCAATTGGAGATTTTAAAATGTGCTTGACAAAGAAATTAAATTTCGGATCTTCTGTGGGTTGATTATTTTATTTTTTTCATTTTATAGCTATCGCCTGTCTTACTTGTTTTGGTTTGTAAACCTTTATTTAGGTTTGGTTCGTAAAGCGCGCTATTTTTATCTATTTTATCAAACCAAAATTGTCATCCACGGAATCTGGTTTCAAAAGCCAAAATATTTGTGTTCTGGCGCTGAGTTTCCCTCAAAAGTTTTCTATTCCGGTTCGGCTTTTGCATAACTTTTTGGTCTCGTTTATAGAACATAAAATAAATTGATAATCAGCGCAGAAATCAATTTGCAATCGCAGTTATTATATATGGCATGGAAGTCGACTTTACTTGACATTTTATATATATTCTCTCAATCCTACTATCAACCGCTCCGATATTTTCTGCTAAAAGTAAATCTTTAAAATATTACCTTATTGACAAATAAATTTGATATTTTCTGTTTCTGCCCATTTTCTGTTTAAGTAAAAAGTTGCCCAAGCAAAAATCTTCATTTTCTAATAGCAAATCCTAAATGTATAATAAGAAATACAACTTGTTACTTGCATTCACATTATAGAACTTTCCTTTTTTTTATGGTACACACAAACTTAAGTTCCTTTAAGCAACTTTCATCCCTGCGGCAATAAAACGCCAACAAAATGGCTGAAATTTCCATCAATCCGAAATGGAAAAGCCGGAAAAATGCTCAATGCTCGAATGTATATGGCGGGTGTTAAACTGACAAATCATGTTTTTTATTGCGACTTTTCCCGGGAACCCTTTTTAAGCGAGATGTGTGTGTCTCTCCCTCTCCCCCTCCCCCTCCCTCTCCCTCCCTCTCTCTGTGTGTGTGGCCGTTTGGGGATTTGAACCATTTGAATATTTCAAGCAATATCAATTTCAATAAAAAGCCATTTATCGCACCACATAAGCAGGCGCTCATAGAGGATTCCTTCAAAAGGATTCCAGCCGTATATATTCGCGTAAGCATAATTTTATGGCCTACCAGCATTCCCCCCCACCCCCCCCCCCCCCCATGCTCCTGCCCCTGCCACGCCCATCAAGCTGGCACGCCTTGCTCTTATTTATGATGTTTTGGCTCAGTTCTTGGCGTATCTTAAAGATACTCACAACCTGTCTGTGGGCTGCGGCTTCTGCTTCTGCTGCGGCTTCTGCTGCTGCTGCTGCCTTACCAAAATACGTAAAATAATGCTAAAAGCTTTTAGCATGCATTATTGATGGCGCCTGTGGCCGAGACTGAGGCTGAGACTTAGCTGGCGCTGGAGCTGGCGTTTTAGCTGCTTCTGGCCAACGTCGAGAACGACCCACATGGCGTATGCGCAATATGCGCCAAGTACTTGTATCTACACTCAAGCATTTACACTCTGACCTTTTGCTAAAGTCGCATGCGATTTAGCCGAAAGTTACACTCGACAAATTAAATAAATGAAAAATGTTTGAAAATGTTTTCTTGGCAAAAGCAAAACTAAAAAGTCTCAATTCAAATCACAAAAATATGTAGAAAATATTTTGTCCATGCGATTGAGCATAAGTTTACAATCAAAAAACTTTTGTCCTAAACATGGATATTTGGTAAATTGCCAAAAGATCATAAATGTTAATATGCTAATCAAATATTTTCCATTAATTTCGAAAAAGTTCTCATCGTAAAAGAAAAACTACGACACAAGAGTTAATTCAAATTATAAAATGTGTGGAACATATTTTTTCCATAAATATTTTATCCATACAGTTACACTCCACAAATTAAAGAAATGAAAAATTGTATCTTAATTTCGAAAATGTTCTCTAGGTAAAAGAAAAACTAAAAACTGTAAAAAGAGTTAAGTCAAATATTAAACTGTGTGGAACATATTTTGTCCATGTGATTTTGCCTAAAGTTACATTCAAAAAATTATATTAAATAAATTAGTCAAATTAAATAAATGAAAAATGTTTCAATAATTTCAAAACTGTTCTCTTGGTAAAACAAAAACTAAAACCCTTTCAAATGAGTTAATTCAAATTATAAATAAAGTGTGTGGAAAATATTTTCTAAAGTTGCGAACTCATTTTTTGTTGAGTGCAGTTAAATATTTGGCTATTTGGCAATTGCAGCAAAAGCGCTGCCAAAATAATTGGCGCCTGCTGCGTCGCCTGTCAGCGGAAAGCCAACGGCATTCCAATTAACATGCAAAGGTTATTAATCATATGAGAGAGCGAGAGGGCCAAGGGAGAGGGGGCAGCGAGGAGAGCGGGGATCAAGGCAAGGGTTAGGCTGTTACGGCAGCTCGTTTGTCTTGTTAATGAAAAAAGCCAAGGCGCCAGCTTATCAGCAGGCCGAAGCGACACAATGCACACACACGCACGCACAAGCACAGTTGGACACACACAAACACACACACAGACACATGCTCACTCACTCACTCACACACACTCTCCCATTCACACTCAGAACGGACAGCGGCTGACGAAGATGTTGACAAAACGAAACTGGTCAGCGGCTCATAAGTGTGGCCAAGTTGGGCTCTCTCTCTTTTTCGCTCTCTCTCTTGCTCTCTCTCTGTGTGAGCGGAGCCTAATTAAATGCTGCCCATGTCAGTTGAGATGCGCTTCGCATTGAAGTGTGGTATGCGGCGATAAATAAGCCAAGTCGGCAGCTACTCACTAGACGACCGCCCAATGTGTAATTAATTCCTTTTCGGGTGCACAGCGCGAAATTAAAAAGTCATGTAAACCAGCCTCATTAAAATAACTAAAAAAATAAAATAAAGTTTATAAAATGAAGAAGAAGCAGAAGCAGAAGCAGAGCGGATGTGGGGACCATAAAAAGCAAAGTCCGTTTCGCAATCGGACAAAGCGATCGCCAGCTAAGCAGCTTTTGTTTGTGTGTGTGTCCCCCCCCCCCCCCCTCTCAAATATGAGTTACATGCAACTGACAGCCCAGAGGGGGGAAGGGATGGAGGGGGGCTGACAGCTGATAAAGGGCTGCAGGACGCGTAATAAAATCAACGCGTTCTCATTATTTAAGCGGCTCGCGCTGCCTGTAGCTACAACTGAAGCTCATAATGTAAACAAATTAAGGAAGAGCACCAGGAGAGGGGGGGAAGGGGAAGCGGTAGTCGTATGCAAATGCGGGGACTTTTGCTTCTGGGCGGTTAAGATTTCTGTTTTGGTTTTTTAACTTAAGCTGCGATTGCGCATTTGAAGGCAAACATGTTTTTATACTTTAGGGGCGTGTGTGTGTGTGTGTGCGTGTGTGCGTGTGTGCGTGTGTGTGTGTGTGTGTGTGTGTGGCACTGGCTTGGGCCCGAATGACATGCCGACAGGCATGTTGGCTTAAAAGACTTCTCTGATCGTGCTTATTAGCCAAAGCCCAGACTCCAACCTGGACTTCGACTCGCACACACACGCACACACACACACACACATGCACACACACGCGTAAACAGTAGCTGGTTGCTGGAGTTGCTCACCTGCCAGCCGATCCTTGACCGCCTGATGGGCCAGCGCCGCATGATGCAGTGGGGGCAGCGCCCAGGTGAGCGGCGTACGCTGCGGCGGCACACGCAGCACATGGCCAGCGGCCGCTGCCGCCGCCGCCGCCGACGGATACAGATGCGGATAGCTGTAAAGCGCCGCGGCGCTCCCGTATGTCGAATTGGCAATGCTCGTGGCCAGCTTATATGCGGCCAGATCCTGTTCATCCGCCTGCAGTTCCTTCTCCAAGCTGCTGTTGTTGTGGTTGTTGTTGTGGTTGTTGCTGCTGTGGTTGTTGCTGCTGTGGCTATTGTTGTTGTTGTTGTTGTTGTTGGTCTCGAAGGGCTTGGACAGCAGGCGCGATATGCTGAAGGGCAGATTCTCGCTGGACGAGGAGCGCGTCTGCTCCGATTGCAGCGATTCGCTGAAACGGGAGTAGGAAAAGTACAAGAGTTACAAAAGTTGTTGTTGTTGTTGTCTCATTAATATTGAGAGTGTCGCCCGATGATAAGAGGCAGAACCAATTATTAATTAATGTTGCAAGCTAAACATTTCCCAGACCAGTTGCCCACGCTCACATATGCCGTACACTGAGAGAAAAAAGGGCGAGCGCGAAAGCTGTCGAAATTCAGTCGCAAATTTATAAAATACAAGACAAATGCAGCAGCAGAAAATAAGAACTCTTTGATCACAAAATTCCAGAACATAATCAAAGAATCTTGGCATTTTCATTAAGAACTTCTTACACTTATTTCAAGTAAGCAGATTCTTGTAATAAGTATTTTGTGCTTAGTCCAATTATTTATTTTTTTCTAGCCTTTGCAATTTAAATTCTGAATCGAGAGCCAATTATTAACTAATGTTGCAAACTAAACATTGCGAGCAGTTGCCCACGCTCACATATGCCGTACACAGAGAGAAATTCAGCCCCAAATTCATGAAATTCAAGATAAATGCAGCAGCAGAAAATATATGCATTTCCATTAACAACTTTTTCACAAATGTTCATAACTTAAATGCAGAACTTAATCCAAGAACTTTGCATTTCTATTAACAAGTTTTCGATCACAAAATTCCAGAAGAACTCCTTACACTTTTTTTGAGTATGCAGATTCTTGTAATAAGTATTTTGTGCTTATTCCAAGCATTTCTCTTTTTTTTATATCCCTGACAATTCAAATGCTGAAACGAGTCTGATTTATGCTTATTTTAGGAATATCCCAGAGCACATTTAAGCACAAATCTTTCTAAATTCTATTCGAATTATACTTGTATTCATTAGCTGCGCTTTTCTCTGAGTGTATTTGTCATTTGTCTGCTGCCATTTGCTGCTGCTGCTGCTGCCAGCCTCAGCGAGAACACGCACCAAGGTATTGGCCCGTAACACGCAGAAATCATGTTTCATGTTTCTTTTTTTTTTGCTGTTGTCGTTAAACGCGGCGTATGCGTAACATTTCGCTTGACTCTTGGCAAATGAAGTAATTATGCAAATGGCATTTGATTTGGGTTCTATAAATCATCGCACAGTCCGTCAGGCGAGTCACGATCGTCATTTAATTCATAAACAACAACAACAAATCGAAAGTGATTTAAATGCGTTCGAGTCTACACTGTACAAAAAACCACACACACAAATAAGTCAATAAAAGAAATTTTATGCGATCTGTATTTGTTGTTTCTCTGCATTGCCTTGAGAGCTCGCTTTGTATACCCTTTAAATATGGGCAAAGAGGGTATAATGGTTTTAAGCAATTGACATGCCAGAGACAGAGGTATTCCAGCGCAAAATAAACCAAAATAATATCTAAAAAAAAAAAGACAGAGGAAGTTTATGTATTATTGATCGGAATGATGGACTTATCCGATTCAGCCAGGTCCGGTCAATCACTATTCAGTATTTCAATATTTATCACTTCCAAAATATCGATAAATATCGATTCTGTGACTTGGTTTCTTAAGCATAGCTTGAAGATTATAAGAGCTACAGTCCGGAAACTTGGTACGCAGGTTCTCGCCTGGTAAATCGAGCTTAAGAATATTTTACTTTTGATGTGTAGGGTTTTATTTCATATTTGGGGTATCTTCCAGTCTCTCACTTATTTTTTTTGGGTTTTTTTCTTATTTATTTAGGATATCTTGAACTAATGATGAACCAAACCAATCCAGCCAAGTCCGTATATCCGCTTTTGTGAATGGACAATCAATATTTCGTATTTCAATATTTATCGGTTCCATAATATCGATAAATATCGATTCTGCACAGCTTGAAGATTAAAGGAGCTATAATTCTCGCCTAGTAAACCGAGTTTAAGAATATTTTACTTTTTTGTGGGCTTTTTTCTCCATCTTTATCTAGGGTATCTCCCAGTCTCTTAATTATTTTTTTTGTGGATTTTTTTCTTCTTTATTTAGGGTATTTTGCAGTCTCTCACTTATTACTTTATTTAGTTTATTTTGTCTTCTTTATTTAGGGTATCTTCCAGTCTCTTACTTAGCTTTTTTTTATAGGCTTTTTATGGCGCATTCTCTATTAAAATGTTAATCCAATATGCTGGGGCTTTCTCTCTCTCTCTCTGCCCCTCTCTCTCCCTCTCGTTGAACTCGTTTGGAGCCCATTTGGGAATTGTTATCAGCGCGCGCTTTTGGCGCCTTGCTAATGTGCCTTTTATCGTCGAGTCGAGTCGCGTCGAGTCTCCTCAGTTGCCAGACTCTCGATTCCCTATGGCCCAGCCCCTACCTGTGCCTACCTGTGCCTACCTGTGCCTCGGTTAATTCAGGAAGTTTCTTGTGCGGCAATTGATTAGTGTTTAAGAGGTTTGTTCACGCCAAGCCCCAAATTGGTGAATCGATGTGAATGAAAGCATTTATTCGACTGCGCTCAGCTTGTTAGCTATTCAAATGACCAAAAAGAATTGAGGCTTTGTCTTGCCCAGACAATGCGAAAGTCATTTGAATACGTTGACTTGGAAGCCATCAAAAGATTAAAACAAGTTGAAGCGCAATACAACTGACTGCCCAATACTCTGTTCACGTTGTTAAAACTGCTTTAAATGGAGTCTACATAGAGTTAAGCACCCTAAAGTCCTGCCAAGGAACCTGCTAAGGAGCACAGAAGCATGCCGACCCTCAACAAAGTAAACATGTACATAAACCTTCTAAAAATGAAAATTTTTAAAGTAAGCTATCTAAACTAAGTTGCCTTAAAACTCCATGGAGTTAGACCTGGGCAATGGCTTTCAAACTGTGCATTGTAGGAAATCTAGACTTAAGTATACTTTCGATTGCATTTATAAGTATATCGAACCTTGAGGGAGATCTACCTGTCAAATTTGTTGACTCTAGACTTGGAAGATCATGTTAATAACATATGTATCTTTAAAGTTTTGTATTAAGTAAAAGCAATATACTCTCTTCCACTCTGTCTACAGAGTATATCCACAAAAAGCCTCTTGGATAGCACGAAAAAAAACTTTGCTTCAAATATGCCATTAACACCCTATGTTCTTTTCTTATAGTTGAGCAACTTTTGATTGGTGCTCCCGTTAGATATGTTACCTGAGCGGAGTTTCGGATTCATCGTAGCAGCTGCCGTTGTCCATATCCACGTCAGAGCCGCTGCCGCAGGACATGCGCGAATCGGAATCGACATCGACATGAATCTCCTGCTCCTCGACATCGTCGCCGTGTCCGTCGTGCCTGTCGTCCGCGTGCTCGTGCTCGTGTTCATCCTCCTCGTGACTGGACATGTTGAGAGCAATTGGCGCCAATTTGAACAGATTGCAAAATTGCGAGCACTAACTATTTAGATTTGTACTATATTTTATCTATTTTCAGATATATATTCAATAATATTTTTCAATAATAATATTCCTTTGCCTCACACACTGCACAATGATTCGATTTCGATTTCGATGTCGATGTCGATTTCGATACGAGGAACGCGACGCGCATTCGTTAAACGGCGCTCGACAAATTGAAATTGAACTGACGCTCAGATCCGGCGCTTGGCGAATTTCCGTGCTGGCGGGCGTAAACGCTTTTCATAAATGCAACCAGAAAAATATGCCGACGGACGGCAGTCGCAGCGACTCTCTGCTGCCGCAGTCGCTGTCGCTGCCGCTGCCGCCGTCGCCGTCGCTCGGCAGGAGCCAGCCCGTCAAACCAGTTCCGTTCGACGTCGGCAGCGCTGCCGGCTTCCTATTTGGTTAACTTTTAACGAGCCTGTTTGCCACCTTGTTTGAACCTAACCTACCATAATAAACGTTAGCCATGCCCAACCAACCGCCCGCCCACCCGCCGTCTCCGTCGCCTCGTGGTGGTGGTTGCTGTTGCTGGTTGGGCTACGCCCCGAGGCGTGGCGCTGTCTCGCTCGCACAGCTAACGCGCTCGCTCGCTGCGCCGACGCGCGCGCCGCGGCACGACGCAGAAACTGGTTTCGGTCTGCGCGCCGCTTGGCAGCACTGGCCAACAATTGGCGCAGTGGGCGTAACGCTGCCGGCCTGCCATTGGCTGCTGCGCCACAGCAGTTACAGTTAGCGCAGCGAATTGATCAGATGGGAGAGGAGAGGGAGGGGGGGCTGGGTGGCTATGCATTTGCGACGACATTTTAAATGGAAAACGTTTTGCTTTTGGGGTTTTTATTACGCACAGACGAGAGAGTATGAAGAGAATGTATTTTCATTTTGATTGTTTCTATTTTCGGTTTAGCGAAGCGTTCCGCCATCTCGTTCCCGCCGGACCGAGACGGGTGTGTGTGTGTGTGTGTGTGTGAGAGCGAAGCAGAGCCTGGCCTGGCCTGGCCTGGAGAAGTGCAAATGTGGCAGATTAATAGCACAATTGGAAATAGCAGCGTTTTGTCAGTTGGCGAGTGCACAAAGCGAGGGGCAGGGGGCGGGGGCGGGGTGGCGTGTGCCTCCGGCATCTTAGCCTGTGGTCCACTTTCCACTGCGGCTTTTCCTAATGCCAGGCGTCCAGGCTTAGCCATTGACAGCCGCTGTGAGATCTCTATTAGTTGCCGCTCCCCAGCTGCTATCTGGCGCGGCATTCTGGCAGCCAGCGATAAGATATGCCCCTCCTCCCTACTCCCACCTGCTGTCTATGCAAATGGAAATTATTTTGTTAAGCTTCATTTTGCTGCGTTTCCAAGTTCACTTAAAGGTTAATTGACAGTTTTATTGGCGAGTCTTGGCCTTGAGCACGGGTCCAACAGGCAGGAATGCGGCAGGAATGATTGTGGCATTGAAATAGCAATTGGAATTGGAATTGAAATTGGAATGGGATAGCCAAGTAGCTGATACTAAAATGTTGGCATGTGCCAGCTACACACATCCCATTAGAAAGGCGACAGAGAGAGAGAGAGAGAGAGAGAGAGAGAGAGAGCGAGTCAGTCATTTTCCTCTGGATTCCTTCCAAGTTTTCGTCGTGTTCGGCAACCCAAAAATTAATCACAAAAATTCAATTTTGCACTTAAGCGCAACGCTTTTTGGTAGCCAGCCACGCAAAATCATGGCCAACAATGAAACGGACAATTACTGCATATTCAATTCGGCGCGTGAGCCAAACACACACACACACACAGCCTAACATTCTACACTGAGCGAAACAAATGTCAACGAAACAATCGATCCAAACTAAACTGCTTAATATGTTTCTAGTGAATTGCACACTAAAACAAAAATGGTAATTGATAGAATTTTTTGAAATAATTTTTAAAATATTTTTTTTAAGCAACAAAGTATCTAAAAACTTTGCTATTTTAGTTGCCAGAAACTCGAAAAGCGTATTACAATCAACTTTAATTGTAATTAGTTCTGGCTACACACTGTTTTCAAACTGAACCGTTTCGAAAACAGAGTTGCATTTTCTTATTTATCGAACCCTAATGACTAGAATCTGATTATTAGAAAGGGAAAGACTAGCCGCAAATTAAAAAAAGCATATATAAATATTTAAGCAAAAATATATTGGAATTAAATTAATAAATATGATGGTGTACAATAATAATAAACTATACATACATAATGTGGCTTATGGAAAAAAGTGTTGCAAAATGAATTTATTTCTGTATGCAAATTTAGCTTGAGTGGAGACTTACTCCTGCTGCTGCACCGATCTGATCTCTATATCATACAGCTAGATGATATCATATAAGAACAACTTTTTATTTGCTTCTCAACAAATGTTTAATAAAAGCTGTAATTTATAGCATCGCCTTCGGCTAAAATATAAGCTAAATATTATCAACATGGGATTATTATAATCATATAAGTTACATACTTGTAACTATACATTCTTTATTAATCATTCGCTTGGAAGAGATGAGAAACATATTTAATTAGTTAGCTATATATTTTGTTTCCCGTACTACTTAAGCAACACACAAGCCGCACCAAATTACCTAGGCATACATTTATGCCCATATATATATTTTTCTCTCAGTGCACGCATCTACATACAAGTTCATAGACACACGCACACACACACATTCAGACACAAAAGGACTTCTTTGCCAGTCACGACGCATCTCGCCATCGACGTTGTTCGTAGGCCTTGTAGCCAACTAATTGGATTTCATTTGAACAGCAGCAACAACAACAACAACAACAACAACAAGCAGCAGCAACATGCAACAATTGCCATAATAAAACAGCAGCAAGAACGGAAAATGGTCTCGACTTGGGCAATTGCAATGCAATTTTAATGCAAAATGCGAGGCGGGCCGCATTTTTATTGCATTTTTACTTTTATTTCAGTTAATAGCAGGCACAACAACAACAACAACAACAATGTGCAAGTGGTGCTTGATATGAATACAAAATGAGGCCAAGATGCCACCACAATGCAGGGGGTAGGGGATGGGGGGTGGGGGGGGGTGTGGGTTGGCAGAGCTAAAATTAGTATGCAGCAGCTGGCTGCAGTCAACAGCAGCAGCAGAGGCAGCAACTGCCTCGAGTCTTGGCCCAGGACTTGCCACTTGACTTTATTGGCAACTTCATGGAATATTCAGCAGCCAAGTTCTGCGCAAGTGTCCTGCCCCTGCCACGCCCCGTTCCGCAACGAACTGCAGCTTCATTTGATATGCATTTTTATTTGGCTCATATACAAATGCTAGCCGGGCAATCAGTTGAGAGGGGCCGGAGAGGGGGGCGTGGCAATGGGGGGGTCGCCGCGCAAATGTCACTTCAATTGCCAATACTGATTATGGCCGTCTCTGTCCGTCGCGGCGGGAACTTTATGTGCGGCCAGCGGGTCGCTATTATTGGTGACAGTTTTAGCTTTATGCGAATGTCTTTCAAATGCCCACGAGTCGACTCAGTCGGAAGAGAGAGGGAGGGAGAGAGAAAGCGAGAGACGGTGAGAGACTGTCACAGCTGCAGAAATAGTGACAGTGAGAGAGAGAGAGAGAGGTTGTGTGTGTATTTATATGCCCATGGGTATAGAGGGCATAATGTCTTTGTGCAAACTTATATAATGGACAGCAGGAAGTATCTCCGACTCCGATAAAGTATATATAGTCATGCCCAACTACAAAAGGATGATACTTAAAATTTGCGATATATATTCTCATATGCAATAGATGACAACATATTAATAATATCGATATATATCGATCTTAAAACAACGTATCTCCGACTCCATAAAGTATATTGTCATGCCCAAATGTAAAAGTCGTCCATCTGGGAAACTGCAAAAGGAAAATAAAATCGATGAAATCGAAATCATAATATCGATATATATCGATCTTAAATCAAAGTATCTCCGACTCCATAATATAGTCATGCCCAAATGTACAACACGTCCATCTGGGAAACTACAAAAGGAAAATACTTGAAATTCGAGATATATATATTCTCCTAAGCCATTTGCTGAACGAGTTTTCCATTTATCTTATCGATAGCTGCCCAAATGTTCATAATATCGATAAATATCGATTATAATACAAAGTATCTCCGACTCCATCAAGTATATATAATCATGCCCAAACATAAAAGTCGTCTATCTTAGAAACTACAAAAGGAGAATAAAATCGATAAAATCGAAATCGTAATATCGATATATATATCGATTCTAAAACAAAGTATCTCCATAAAGTATATATAGTCATGCCCAACTGTAAAACACGTCCATTTGGGAAATTACAAAATGAAAATACTTGAAATTTGAAATATATATTCTCCTCTTTAGTTTACCTCTTTTCTTATCGAAAGCTGCCCACATTTGCATAATATCGATAAATATCGATTTTAAAACCAATTATTTTAAATATAACTCGGATATTAGATGAGCTAGCTATGTTCTTGCACATAAAATAATTATTCATGACTTTTGGGATACCTGCCCCTAATTTTCCAAAAATGCAATAGATCCCATTCTTGATCCACATATTTGTTTGCAATATTGTCGACTTGAAAGTTGCATAAAGATCAGGTAATAAACAAAGAAGTTTTTAAGGAACACAATACCTCAAATAAAGGCTAAGTATGAGGGAAACAAAAATTGTGTGTGTTTTTTTGAACTTATGCATAAAAGAGCTAGGGTATCTCCTAGTCGGCCACTCTCGAATAGAGCACTTTTGCTCGTTTCTCGTTGCCATTTGTGTGATTTCCCTCAACACGTGAGGCACTTTCTGTGCTTCCTTCCCCCCCGGCCATTGTGATTGCCTTTCGAAATTCTCTTCGCCTGTCCGCACTTGACTTCGATTTCCGGAGGGGGGCGAGATGTTGGGCCAAGTGTTGGGTCTATGCGT